AGAGAGAGAGGGGCATTCCTGCGCCGCATGCATTGGGCTGCAGGAGGCCCCATAAGCCCTGCAGGCCCTTGCAGGCCGTGCAGTGCAGGCCGTGCCCTGCGGGCGGCGGCGGCAGGAGGCCTGCGGGCACACGTGTCCCTGCAGCCAGGCCGCAGGCGGGCCGGGCCGTTCGAGTTATGCTCGCAATGTGGTCAGAGCAAGCGGTCAGAAAAACCTTGACGGGGCCGGGGCGGGTCCGGGGGAGGGCCGCACGGCGCGGTGCGGTGCAGGCAATGGACGACACCTGCACGGGCGACGGCGCGGCGTGGACAGCGCCGCGACGCCAAAATAAAAAGCGACGCCGCCTTGCGCGCTCCGCTGTCCTTTAGCCTTTCCCAAGCCGTCCCTCAAGTCCACTATAGTGTACTCCGCTCGCATCACGGTCGCGCACACGTCGCGGCCGCAAACAGCTTGTCCTGTCCGCGGCGCCGCGGTCGCGGACACACCGGCCGCAGCAGCGGAGCCGGCGGCGGCGCCATCAGGCTAGCATATCGTCGTGATTTTCGACGATCACGCGGCCGCCGTAGGCCGGGCCTTGAAATAGCGCGGTTTGCATTCCCGCTGAGGCTGCGGTCGCGGGGGATCGGCTGCAATCCCGATATGAATGTCGCAGCACAGCGGCGCGGGGCGCGGCGGGGCGGGGCGGGGGCGCTGCCGCCGTCCATCCGAGTCGACGCTCGCGACGGCGACGGGGGGGCCAAAGCCATTGCATTGTCCCAGGCACGTCATTTCCTCTGTTTCCTCAGCGGGTCCCCGGCAGCGACACGACCTGGGCGCCCCGTGACCAGCGGGAGCCCCCTTAGGGCCCCCTTCGGGTCCCCCCCTTAGGGCTCCCGCGACAGGGCAGGGCCCCCCTTACCGAGTGCTTTTCATTTTTCATTAGCCGTGGCCGGCCAGGTCGTCCCGTCCCGTCCGCGGGCACGAGTCGGGCGCTGGTGCCCCCGCGGCCGTGCCCGCCCCGCGCCCCCCGCCACGCCCCGCCACTTCGCGACCCGGCCGTGGGATCGTACCGGACCGGGGCCCCGGCCGCCGAGCAGCGCGCCGGACTCGGTCACGACTTGATTTTATGAGTCGCGACAAATTTCAACGGGATCACACTCGGGGGCGCCTCGCTGCCGGGGGCTCCGGGGGCCATACGGCCGCTGGGGCTCCAGCCCGGCGGAGAGCAAATCGATCTAGTTTCTGCTTATCCTTGGCTCGGCGGCTCGCGGAATGCGAGGAGCCCGGTGAGAAATTGAGCAGAGATAACGAGAGTCCTGCTGCGGGGTCTGCTGCTCGGCCTGCCGGCCGGTCCCGTCGGGTTCAGGGGCCCCCCTCCGGGGCCGCGGGGCCCCCGCACCGCCCGGGGCTCACACGGCGCGCGGCGGCAGCCTCGCCAACCAGCCGGCAAACGGCAGCCAGGAAAAACGTTAGGGTCTCACGAGCGCAGCGACCGTGTGCTCGTGTTGTGTCCGGACCGGACCAGCCTGTCCGTCAGCAGGGGCGCCCCCGCTGCCCCCGTCTCCTCCTCCGCCGCCCCCCGCAGCACCCAGCCAGCGCCACCTCACGAGGAGGCACTGCATGGCGCCCCAAACGAAATACTGCTAATTAGACAGCCAGCCGATCGCTGCGGCCACATTTGCTCCGAATATGCAAATGGCGAGGGCCGTCGTGAGCCAGCACGACGACGAAGGCGCGGAGTGGAGAAGGCGGAGCAGAGGGGGAAGAGGGCGACGACGACGACGAGGTCCCGGGGCGCGGCGGCGCCCTGCCAGAGTGATGAATCCACCGCCCAGCAGTGCACCATCATGATGAAGTGTGACCGGCACAGCGTGGCACGGCGGCGCCGCGCGCTGACCCGCAGCTCGCCGTGGACAACGCCCGCCGCGCCACCCCACGCCACACCTCTTTCATAGGCGTCCCGTCCCGTCCCGGGCCGTCCCGGCTGTGCGGCGCGAGCGCGAGGCCCCCCGGGTCTTTTGACGTGTATTGATGATAGGCCCTGCCGGGTCCGCCGCGGCCCGGGCCGGCCGCTCGCCTGACGCAAGTGTTGCTCCGCGGAGCCACGCCGCGATCCTATACCCCCGGTCAAACCATTAAAAGCCTATTATCTGACACATATCGCACCGGCCGGCCCGAGTCGTTTTATACGACTGCCTGCCTGGAACACGACGGCGCGCACCGCACAGCGAGCAGGCCAGCTTCACGCTGTTCTCGTCCAGGAATGTGCAAATCGCCCCGTGTCCGGGGGCACGCGCGCGCGCCCTGCAGTAACGATGCAAGGGGGAAAGCCCGCGAAGTTACGGCAGCAGCGCGACCCGCGGGCCGCGGCCTCGGACACGACGACGCCGTCGACGACGACAACGCCGGGCCGAATCAGCGACCTGCACGGCGATGACCTTTGCCTGGGGCGACCGGGTCCAGCGCGATGTCCAGCGGGCGGCGGAGTGGTGGTGTGGCCGCGGCAGGCGGAGTGCGGCGGGGGGTCACCGGGGCCGGGGGGGTCGTCACCTCCGCCAGTGTATAGGCCGGGGCCGAGCTGGGCGGACGTTTACGATCAGTAGACATAAGGAGCGAAATAAAACGCGAACCCGAGGGGCGTACACAATACGGGACGGTCCTGCTCGCGCGCCCCGCGCGCCCCCCGCGCTCCCCCCGCGCAGGACAGCAGGGCAGAAGCCCCCCCGAGGACAACGCCCCGCGAGTAAAAAGCCTGTCAGGCCGTCCGCATTTTTGCCTGAACCCTTGAACCCGTGTTGTACACTAGTAACGACCGCACCAGAGACTTTTGACGCAGCTACCATACGGCACATAAATTACCCCCTGCAGGAATGCCTGGGCGGCTGGCTGTCCGGCTGCCTGCCTGCCTGGCCGTACCGCCGGGGCTCCCGTCCGCGCTGCTCTTCCTGACCACCTGACCGGACACGTCCCGAGGTGATTGCCTGTGATTGACCACGACCTGCGCCAACGCCCGCCCGCCCGCCCCGCCCGTATGTGTGCCGAGCACGAAGCGCACGAGGACATGCACGTGCACGCCGGCCCGAGGAGCACGTGCAAGTGCACGGCATGTGCTTGCAGCAGCAGCACAACAATAGCCCCTGGGGGGCGCGGGTACCTGCGGCCCCCGGTCTACTCCCCCACGGCACCGACCGGGCACGGCGCGGCAGATGCAGCGCGATCCAGTTCGTGCCTTATGCAAATGGGACTAGGCAGCATAGAGCTGCACTGCGCTCCGCCCGGGCTGGCTCACCCCGGGGAGACCTGGCCCCGGGCACCGGTGGGCACAAGAAGGCAGCTGGAGGGCCGTCATCTAGAGGGCCGCGGAATCAAGCGAGATGAGCTGGGCGCGGGCGGGCACATATCGCGGAAATCAGGCGGAGTAGGAGCTATTGTTGTTCTCAGAGGGCTTTCAGGGAGATTTCTTCTTGAAAAGGCAAGCAGAGCGAAGGCGCGCGGACGGTCGGTATCAAGTGATGGGTGTCTTTGTGCGGGGCGGGGTCACACAGCGCACGGACACGGAGCCACCCAGAGGAGGGGAATAAAAACTGCGCGCATTCGCGATGAAGAGCCGTCGAGAACGGCGGCGCGGAAAATACGACCCCTTCCCAGCTCACTCACCGGAATTGATGGTGTTGGACTCGGCGTCGGCCACGTCGATCCTGGCGAGTTTCGACCGGCGCGCCTCGTCCGGCGAGGAGTCCGCCGATCCGGACTCGCCGATGTTGATCCTCGTCATCGGCGGCCTCACGTCGTCGTCGTCGCCGAGCAGGCCGAGGTGGTTACTGATGGCGGGCAACGAGGACGGCCGCAAGATGGGGGAGGAGGACCGGCCCCGCCGCTTGATGGGCGTCGAGCACCGGGGGTCGTCCGAGTCCAGGAGGGACGACGGGGGCGTGCAGAGGATCCGGACCGCCGACGAGGACGACGACGGCACCAGGGACTGTAACATAGACACGGGTTAGTGACGGCTTCCAGGGGCACTCGGAGAGGCTCGGGGGGGAATCAGGCAGAGGATGCTCACCTTCTTGCTACTGATGGGGGCAGAGATGGACGGCCTCCTGGAGTTGACCACGCCAAGCGGCAGGGTGCCCTCCTTCTGGTCGTCGCTGTCGCTGCCGTCGTGGTGACGGGCAGCGTCGCTATCGCCGAAGGCCGCCAGGTAGTTCTCCTTGTTGCAGGAGGCCACCTTGTGCTGGATGAACTTCATGATGTCGCCCAGGGCAAAGGGCTTCTGGCAGACGCCACAGGTCAGGATGTCCGGCTGCGAGGGCGCCACGGCCGCCTCGGACGCGTCGGCTGCAAAACACAGAGAAGGAAGGGCGACGGTTAGTTATTGGCGGTGGAGGCGAGCAAAGCGGGGCGGCGAGGCTCATGCGAAACGGGCCACTCGTCAACAACGAGGCTGTCCGGCGGGTCGAGTCGGCAGGCACCGCGCGGCCGCGGCACTCGAGCCGACAGACAAAGGGGTTTGTTGTGACCGGCGGGCCGGGGAGGCGAGGCCCGCGAGTACGTGGTGGTGGTGCTCCCCCAACCCGCGCCGCGGGGACCGTCCGCGAGCCCGCAATAAGACCCGATCAAATGGCTGTTGGTGGGGCCGGACACGGCAGGGCGGGCGGCGCCCGGGCCCGCGGGCCGGCCGCCCCATGTTCGATTCACGACGACGTGCGTGAGTGAAGGCGTGGCCAGCGCGGCGGTCAGCGGCGCCCCTCCCATTGGTCAGCCCGGCCAAGGCCCAGCCCGGCGGCCGGACGCGCCGGTCACCCCGGGCGGCCACCCACCCACCACACACGGGGGTCGCTTCCCGCCCCTCCGCTTTGGCCCGCCCCTCGCCCTCGCACCCCTCTTCCGCCGCCGGGCTGGGGGCCTTTCTCCGTCCGTGTCTCTGGCTTCCTTTCTCTCGCTCCCGCCCGCAGCAGCCCCCCGACCACCACCGGCCACCCCGTGGTCGTTGTGTCTGTCTCGCTCTGGCCCTCGCTGGCTGTGCTGGTGGTGGTGGTGGCTTTTCGCTATCGACCGGTTCCGGCCTCGAATAAAAACCTTGCGACCGGGGCCCTCCCCTCCGGCTCACATGATGGTGGTGGTGGTGGCGCTCTGCTGGGCCCCCGCCACCCCGCCTCGCCCCTCAGCACCGCAGCGCGCACTTTGAATTAAACAAAACAGGGAATAGTAGGCCTTGTAGCGGCGCGCGCGGCTTCTTATAAGAGGAGCACAGCGCCGCGGAGGACGACAATACCGCAATAAAGTTGGCCAGCTCCAGAGCGAGAATGCCGCGGCGCGCCCGGCCGTCCCAACTATTATTTCAGGGGCAGCCGACGGCGGTCCAGTCCGGTGCGTAATGCGCAAGGGACGACGGTAAGTACTTCATTACACGGGGAATTTACTGCATTTTTCTGTTGATTTTGTTGCCCTTTGTTGGCGCTTTTGTGCCCCCCTCTTCACCCGCACCCCCTCTTGCTCCGACTGGACGACTGGAACCCCCCCTCGGAGCGCGAAATAAACTTAGCTTTGAGAACTCAATCGACCTGAAACGGATTTGGATATGGACGAAGGCGAAGGCCTGTTTACGGTGTGGTCAGCCTTTATCGTCTGACCACGACTATTGTGCAGCAGGGCCCCATACCTGCAGTGTTGCGCTCTCAGGTTCGGTCCAGGGCGGGGGAGGAGGAGGAGGAGAAGAGGCAGGCCAAGCAGGGTCCTGTGCATATACCTGCATCGCCCGTCGTCCAAAAGGGCATCGAATATCGCCTTGCGTAAATCTGCGCTAAGTCGACGGCCCGCTCAAAGGAGAGGAAAAAGCGGGCCGAAAAGAAGAAGAAATGTTTTTTCACCTGATGTCTGGCCGGTCCCAGGTCAGGTCGCATTACCTTGACCCGAATCACGCCGCCTGCCAAGCCATCACACTCTCATCGGCTGTCCGGAGCTTTCTCTGAATGCGAAGCGGGGGGCTTTATAGAAAGAATTAGAGCGGGATTATTTTACGGCTGAGGCAGGAGCGGGGATGTGATGCATGCCGTCGGGCTTCGTCTCATTTTTTTCCCCTCCCCTCTCTCCTCTCTCTCCCTCTCACACATGCGGGTGGCAGTGGCGGCAGCCGTTGTGCGACGCCTTGGAGGCGCAGAGCGGCAGCCTCAGCGGCATAAGAGAGGGACGAGAAAAACATGTCCCCGCGATGCACAACGTGACAGGCGACGCTCTCTAGCCGATCATAAATGTCCGCCGGCAAATCTAAGAGCGGGAGTCCATGATTAAACTCACTACGCCACAATTTCACCCTCTCCTCTTCCCGGCCCCCGCCGCTACTGCCCGGTCTACAGCCGCACTCAGGTCCCTGTCTTCAAAGAAACTTGCCAACTTTTCGCCTCTACACACCACCACCCCGCCCCCGCCCGCGCAGCGCGGCGGAGAGAGAGGGAGAGATAGAGAAGAAACGGCACCGCGGCGGCGGAACTCAACTCAACTCCTCCGAGGGTTGGTTTTAGTTGGCTGACCACCGCGGTGACCACGAGCGGCCGGGGCCCGGCCGTAAAGCGCGCGGGGCTTTTTAACGTTCTGCGAGCGGGACAGGAAGAGTTATGACGTTGGTATGAGAAATACGGCGGTCGTACAGAGTGGGCGGCATAAAGGAAGGACCGCACGCCGCACTCACGACCCCGATGACGACCACAAGGAGCAGCAGCAGCAGGGCCCCGGGACGTATATCAGCAGCAGCGCGGGGGTAGCTGTTGTGCGTACGGCACCGGCGGACGGCATTTGTAACTGCCCGGTGCGGGTGCGCAGCAGCAGCAGCAGCCTCTTCTTTCTCCACCTCATTGTTTTTTCTCCCTCTCTCTAGCCTTCGTCTTTACGGCCACAGCCAGCAGCCGGGCCGGGCGGTGAATGAGGGAGGAGGGGCACAAACGCCTCTCTCCCTCCTCCCAAAGGGCGGTAGCACCTCTCTCTCTCTCTCTCTCTCTCTCTCTCTCTCTCTCTTACACACACACGCACATACGGTGCGTTGGGCCGCTGGGACCGAGGGGGGAATCAATGGGGGCGGTCCGCCCCGCCGCCCCGCGCCGTCCGAGTTAGCGGTTGCCCAATAGCCGTGGGGCAGCTCCTCGGCCCACCGCCGGGGGTGGGGGCGGCGGCCACCCCACCGGCCTTGGGGGAGGAGGCGAGGCGAGGCGAGGCGAGGCGAGGCGAGGCGAGCAGGCTGGAGGAGATCAAGGAGGATGAGATCAGGAGCAGGGAACACGGGCGAGCAGCGGCTATGGGGTCTGCCCACCCGGGGCCTATCACGTCAATGCTTCATTAGCGCTCGCTGTCCAGCTGTTTCGGCCGGCCCAGGGGCCGCGCGCCACCGTGGACGCCTCCGTCGAGGCCGTGCGCGGGACTGACGGGAGAAAGCCCGCCGGGACGCGGACGCAGCGCTGCTCCGTGCGGATTGGTCCGCGCAGTGAATGAAGTGAATGGATGACGTACGGACGGGAAGGACCACGCACGACAAGTGGTCCAGTTTGTTTTCTCCCACAAGGAGCCCATCAATACCATACCACCACGCAGCCTCTGCGGTCGCTTGGTCCTCCGGGCATTGGGGCCGCGAGTGTCCCGTTTCACGGCGTGCCTCGCGCTTTCAGATTTCCTTTGACAGACACGTCGAGGTGACGGAGGGGGAGGGCGAGAGCGAGCCGTACGTACCCCGTTCAGTCCTCCGCGGACCTCACGCGCAAAAAAAGAAGGCTTGACCTCTGGTGGGTGCGCGCAGCAGCCGGTGCCCCGGCCAACACGGTAGCAGGCGCGGCGGCCCGGGTCGTCTAATTGACAGCCGAACACGCCGGGGCCGGGGATCGAATCCCCGCGGGGATGGTCCCGGGAATACAGGAGACGCTCCATCACCTCCCAGGGCGGGCCGGGCCGGGCCGGGCCGCGCGCATGGCCCGGGGGAGGTTGCGCCACGCCGCCGCGCCGAAATCCGATCCCGGTCACGTCACGGCGAGGCTGACGGCGCCGAGCAGCTCACGCGGCCGCCACCAAGCGCTCCGGGGCCTCCGGGGGCGGGGCGGGGCGCGAGCGCGCGGCCGAGGGTCAGAGCCGAAGGAGCTGCGAACGCAGCCTCGGGGGTTCGCGACTCCGGCCGCGGGCCCGCGCCAGGCACGCACGTTTCGTAATAAAAGTTAGAGGGTATGAAACCCGATACCGAGGACGATCCTTTAATCGTAATCAGCTGATGGAAAATAAAATTAAAGAGACAGCGAAAAAAAATAAAACAGACACACGACCCACGCGGGAGAAGAGGACCGCACGAGGAAGACGGCCACGACGAGCAACAGCAGGCAGAGGCGAAACGGACGACGCGCGCTCGACGCGACCCGGGCTGGGCTTGGAGGGCGCCGAACAGCCAACGGACAATGCGAGGACGCGAGTCATTTGCATACGGAAGTACGACGACGCACACGACCATCTATATCCCGATGACTCCCTTTTTTCCCTTCCCATGCTGCACCCATGCCTCCCTCCCCTCGCTAACGACCCGGCCCGCCCGCCCAGCCGGCCACACCCATGCGCCACTCAATGCGCGTGCAGTTGCAGCAGCAGCACCCCAAAAATCGCGCACCCGATGCCGCGACGCAGCGCGCGCGCGCACACACACACAGACGAATGCTATGCGCGGCGACCCGCCCTGACCCCGGCCCGCCGGGCTCGTTTTAGCGCGATTCAAGCCTTTTGTCCGGCGAGCCACGGAATCAATACACACGCGAGGCGCGGGGCTATTTTATCGGCGCGCGTGTCGCGCGGACGTCGTGCGGCGGCGCGGCAGCTGCACCGGTCAACAAGCGCGCGCGGCAAACAACACATATTCCAACGCAATTTCGCCTCGTTTCCGCCGCCGACCCGCCACATTGTGAAAGTGACCCCCCAGCCACCCCCGCCCCGCCCGCCCCGCGCGCCCAGCAGCGTCCGCGGCGGAGCACATCTTGTCGGTCATGTCCGCGGACGTCATCGCGAGGCCCCCACCGCGGCCGCGCGGCCCCGTCCCAGCCCGCCACGCCGCGCCACACCTGTGCAGCTGCTTGTTGACGGATCGCTCTGATGAAAAGTCCACACGGCATATTTCTCGCGCCTCCCAGTTCTTCTTCTTCCTCCTTCTCTCTCTCTCTCTCTCTCTCTCTCTCCTCGTCGCTCTCTTCCCCCTGCCTCCCCCTCCAGCAAACAGAACGCACACACACTCACACTCTCTCACACACATGGAACGGTGAACCCCGCGCCGATATGTGGCCGGCGGGGCCGGGGCCCGCGAGCCTCACGGGGGTCACAACGAG